GTGTATGTGTGTATATATATATATAAAACTTGACATTGCATTTTGGCATTTTGGCATAACTAAAGAGACAACTACCAGGAAACTACTACTACTGACAAAATCACTCTGAACATAACACAAAGATATAAAGAAATGGAAAATATGTAAAGGCTAATTAACTACTGTGATATTGAAATAGAGATGGACAAGGACCATTAGAGCAGAATAGAGGGTCCCAACATTTCCCTACAGACACATGGATGCTTGCTTATGACAGAGCTGTCACTAGATCACTAAAGAAAGGAAAGCCCATTTAAATGCCTGTTCTCATCAGATGGTATCTCCTCCACTCGGCTCTGGACCTCCATTTGTTTCCCCTCTGCAAGTATCTGACTCTTGTAATTCTCTCCTTTGTTCCTTTACTCTCAACTGCACACCCTTTTTTGGGGAACCCCTCTTCTTTCTTGCTTTGGCAAAATCACATTTGCCTGGCTCTGGTCTTTCTCTGTGGCCATGTTCTCCTGGCTCCTGGGCCTCTGCTCTTCCACCTGATTTCTAAATAGTGAAAGCTCAGGAATCCTTTGCTCTTCTCTGTCTCTGTAAATGATCTCAGCCAGTCCCGCTTCTCTTCATTTCCATTTCTACCACCATATTCCAAGCCACTGCTATCTCACTTGACTGAAGCAGCCTCTAAACCAGTCTCCCTGCTTTTGTTACCACACAACAGCCAGCTTTGAAAATGTAAAATGACCCCTATGGCCTAAAAGTTCCCCAGTGGTTTTCCCTCTTTAAACCCCTAGGATGGTAAGAAGCTGTCTTGGGTATGGCCTCAGCCTCCCTCTCCCTTTTCATCTCTGTCTCCAGTAAATCTCCTCTCTAGGTTGCAACTGCCAATTATTTCCCATGTGGATCTTTTATTATCTGAAGTCATTTTTTTTTATTTTTTTTCCATCCAAAAATGGTTCTCTCCTTTTTACTAGTCCCAGAGAGGTTATCATGTTTTTAGCTCTTAAAACTTGAAACTTTAGGTTTTATTGACCTCAGTTTTCCTCATCATTTATTTTCAAATAATTTCCATAAATGTATGGCAATGTTCCTCACTTTAGTTTCTTTTCTTTTTTTTTCTTATTCTTTTTGCCTTAATTCAGTGGGTATGAATCATTCTTGGGTCATAGATCATTTTGAGGATGCTTTGAAGGACTTAAAGAAGATGGGAAATCACTTCCTAGATGGGTAACTAGAGCAGGTTACTTTAGTGTCACCATCTTTGCAAATATGGAGTAGATGCTTTTTATGCCCCTTACCCCACTTCAAAATCAGCCCAGCTATGGAGGAAAGTTATGTGCCTGGTGCCATCCTCCCACCTCAAGCACATCAAGGCATGTCACCCAGCTGCCTCAGGACTCTCTCTGAAGGCAGCACAATCTGAGACTCTCTGGAAACCCCTATCCTGGCAACAACCTCATGAATAGCCCTAGCTACCCTCCTGTTCTGCATTAGGATAACTAGGAGGCACAGCCTACATTTTTTTTTTCCCCAGAGGGTTGCAGCAAGATAAAAAGCCAGGTATTACACATACTGATAATCCTTCCTTCCTGGTCCCATTCTTCCTGCCTTTATTCCTGCTTCCTGATATCACCTGCCAAATAAACTACTTGCACCCATGACTTTGTCAGGCTCTGCTTTGAGTGGAATCCAAAATAAGTGTTGACCGCATCGGGATATTGATGGAGCACGGTGTGGATTTTGGCTTGGTGATTATAAATATAGACCAGGTATGGTGGCATATGCCTGTAATCCCAGTGACTCTGGAGGCTGAAGCAGAAGAATCTTAAATTTGAGGCCAGCCTGGGCAACTTAGTGAGAACTTATCTCAATACTTAAAAAGCCTGAGGATGTAGCTCAGTGGTTATGTGTTTGCCTCGTATTTTGTGAGACCTTGGGTTCCATCTTCTGTACAACATAAACAATAATGAAAAGAATTTAGTTATGGGAGTATTTATGAATATAAGGTAGGGTTAAAGAAATGAGTGATGGTATAGAATCCCAGGTTGAATAATGGTGGGGAATCATTACCACCCTTAAGGGCTAAAGCAGTATTGGAGCTGTGGCCTTCAGGATGAGGAACAAGGTGAGGCAGGCACAGAATTGAAGTTCTTCTCTCTCATTTTGTGCCAGTGTTAGCCTGAGCAAACATCTCCTTAAATGTGATGTCACAGGCCTCTGCTTGCCCCACTCTAGTCCTAGCATTGAAAACAGGACAGTTTGGGGCATCATTGTTCTCTCATACTTTGATTTCTTACTACTGCCTCCAATTTGCAAAACCCAAATCTGATTAAAAAGGTAAAGGGTGATAAATGGAAACATCAAATCCAACACATGATGTTTAGATGAATTAACATATAAAGTACTTAGAGAGGTATGTAGAATATGTTCTCATTTTTATTGCTACCATTATCATTGTCTACATGATGCAAAAGTTCAAATCAGGGGCTTCCTGAAATTCACTTAAGGAACTATGCCCTGATTAAACCTTGTTCATTTTATGGTGTGCCTTATTGAAGTTCTCTCTGTTAAGTTCTTATTGTTTCACATCATGGCATCCACAGAAAACATTTGTATAACACCAGAGGGAAGAGATGAGGTGGTGCTAAACCCGGGGCCACTGGCCCAGGGATTCTGCTGACCTCAAAGACTGTGGATCAGAATCTTAGCTTACCCACGCCATATAGGAAGCTCTTATCAAATCTATTATCCATACTGCACAGTAACATTGGCCATGCCACTTCCTTTTCCAAAGTCATATTTTTTAAATCTGACTTTGCTTTTCAGTAATCTATTAACTGCCAAGACCTAGTGTCATCTGCATTTTCTCATGAAAGACACATTATTTTTGATGATTACAGATTATTTGACATTTGCCACATTTATACCAAGAACCCTCCTTTTAGGGTATCTGTAATATATTGTTAAAGTAATGCATTAATATATCTCCTATTGGGTGGATTTGGGGTAATTTTCTGCATATGGCTATTCCTACCCTCAGCAGTTGAAGTTTCCCTGTCTTGTAATTTCCAAAGCTGTATCATTTTAGGAATCTAGAACTTTATTCTTACAAGTTCTCTTTCTTCTATTCTATTTTGTAACATCTGGAAGGTGGAACATATTCTACTCATCTTTAAATCACTATTGCAAGTAGTTAGGCACATTGCGTACACTTAATTTATTTTGTATGATTTCTACCTGTGTGTAGGAAGACTGTCCTGAAAAATATTGTCCACAATTATTATGCAGCTGGCCTCAGCATTTGGTGCCCTGCAGGTTTTCCTTTCATCCCTGCCATTTCACATTGGGTGTGAGAAAAGCAGCATGATAGGTCTCTCACCTATAAGTGAGCAACTTCCTTCTTCCTTCGTTTCCCAAAACGAGGGGTGGGGGTGGGATGCAAGCAAGAGGGTGTGGAGGTGAGGAGGGGGAACACAACCGAAAGGTGGAAGGTGATTTCCAAATCTGTGGGGTCACTTCTTTCTGTGGGAGAGCCTTTACTGACTCCTCACATTTTTCTTAGTCCTATATAAAAAAAGCAGTACTCACATCACTTTACTGCGCACCCTGCTCTTTTTCCTTTCTTTCCCCGTCCCCCTAGCCCCCGCTCCAGGGCATTGAACCCAGGGGCGCTCTACCACTAGACTCAACCCCTTTCACATAATTATCTTATTTGTGACAGGGTCTCACTAAGTTGCCGAGGCTGGCTTTGAATTTGAGATCCTCCGGCCTCAGCCTCTCGAGTTGCTGGGATTACAGGCGTTCCCTACCACGCCCGGCTCCCGCGAGTTTTCCAAGAGCAAACTGCACAAGCACATAAATGCCCCAGACTGACACTAGTGAAAACACACCCACGTGCTCCGATCTTCTCCCGCGGCCGCAAGTTCTTTGAAACGAATCAGAGAGAAGTTGTCTTAGTGTCGTGTCTCACACTTTCAACACGATCTTTTAGACAAAAATAAAAGTTAAACCAAGAAATTTGAAAGAAGTCATGACAAGTGATAATCAACTTTCGTCTTTTACGCCTCTTCACGCTCTGGCGGGATTTACTTTGCGTTTTCGGGTGGTTGGGATGCAGCAGCGCGGGCATGGAAACTGCCTTGACACTCTGCCCGCAGCTGGAGAGGCGGGGCGGAGTTGTGACGTCATCGCCGCGGGGCGGGGCCTGCGGGGTCGCGAAGAGCATCGAGTTGCAGTGACGCCCGCTGCCTGCTCCCAAGAGCGATCCCGTGTCCCCGGCGCCCTTCGCGTGGTCTGTTCGCGTCGAGTCCCGCGCGGAGATGGCAGACGACCTTGGAGACGAGTGGTGGGAGAAGCAGCCGGCAGGAGCAGACAGCAGCCCAGGTACCACTCTGCCCGCGCTCCCGCGGGGCCTCCTCTTGCGAGCCCTGCCCAGTACCTCAGCCGCGCCGCTTCTGGTCTGCAGATCCGGCAGGGGAAGCGGTGGGTGCCACATGCGTGCCCTCAACGCAGATCTGCCCGTCTGTCATTCAAGAACCCTTTCCAAGCCCTGTGTTTCTTTAACTTTTTTTTACCCCCCCCTTGAGGCTGGACGACAGTTTTCATGAGGAGAGGCAGTTTTGCCTCGTGGTTAAAGAAAATCCCTGCACTAGGTTCAAATGGCTTCAATTCAAATCGTGACTCTGGTATTCTAATACTTTGGGCTCCTTTTCCTCATCTGTAAAGTCAGAGTAATAATAATGTCTATTTCATCAAGTTATGAAGATACTACAAGTTGTGCACTTTGATACAGCACTTGGCACACATATATGCATAATAAATATAAGCTATTGTTTTTCTTGCTCTTTTCATGTAATCTAGGATATTCGACCTGGAAATGGGTTTAAATAGAGATCATCCCTTTAAACTCACCTATTCTACAGATAGGAAACCTGCCCTAAAGATGTTAAGTAACTTGACAAGTTCACATAGCAAGTTTGTGTCAGAAACAAGAGTAGAATTCAAGTAACACAGTTTGAACTGTTTTTACCCTGCTTTGCTACTGTATACTTATTCCAGATGCTGTGGACATATTACCCCTGAGTAACATTAAATAACTCACTTTTAAGTGTGTGATGCCCCTTCTTACCAAGCATCTAACTAGAAAACTGCAGTGTTAAGACACTTCTGTGTACAGTGCCTGGACATGGTAGGTGATAATAGCAGCTTGGCATTTGTTGAGTGCTTACTGTGTGCCAGATACTGTTTTGAATGCTTTGCATGCACGATCTCATTTAATCTTCATCAATATACCATTGGGTAGTCACCGCTGTTATACTCATTCTAGAAGTGAGGAAGTTGCACTGAAAAGTAATTTGTCCAGTGTTGGTGAGTGAGGAGCTGGAATTCACTTGCAGGCCATTTGAACCCAGAGTCTGCACGCTTTTGTTTCTCATAATTATTCTACTTATCAAAAGTAAGAATCTCATCTAAAACAATAACTCCTTATTGATTTCAAGAGACATTATTTGTAAACCCTTTTCTACACATCATTGTTATGGAAGTGTATTTGAGAACCTTCAGACTCCCATAGGTTGCTCAAGGTAGATAAGCAGCATTTCTATTAAGCCTGTTTTTTTGTTTTTGTTTTTGTTTTTTTTTTTTTGGTACCAGGGATTTAACCCAGGGGCACTTAACAACTGAGCCACACCCCCAGCCCTTTTTATTTTTTTATTTTGAGGCAGGGTCTATTGCTAAGTTGCTCAAGGCCTTGCTGCTGAGGTTGGCCTTAAATTTGAGATCCTCCTGCCTCAGCCTCCCTAGCCTCTGGGATTACAGGCATATGTCACCATGCCCAGCTGCTACTAAACTTTGAATGCCACCTCTTTGCTTATAATTCAGATGTGAACCTGGAACTCAAGGCTCAACTACCTGACTGCCTTTTTGAAGTCTTTTTTTAGTTATTTAATAGGGATGTCAAATGTAAATAAGACCCAAGTGCTGCATTATTCCTCAATCCTTCTTTTTTTAAAAAAATATTTTTATTTATAGATGGACACAATACCTTTATTTCACTTATTTAGTTTTTTAATGTGGTGCTGGGGATCAAACCCAGAGACCCATGTGTGTTAGGCAAGCATTCTCCCACTGAGCCACAACCCCAGCCCCTCCCCAAACCTTCTTTTTCTCCAGACTTACCTATTTCAGTAAATTTTGCCACCACCTATCCAACTTCACAAGGCTTAGTAGCATCTTGATTTGTTCATTTCTTCCCTTTCTCCCTCACATTTTATATATGGAGTCCTGTTATCTCTCTCCAAAAGACAGCCTGAGTCTTTGCCTTTTTTTCCATTGGAGTACACACTATTATCCTTTTTTGTCTTTTTTTGAGGAGTGGGTACTGGGGATTGAACTCAGGGGTACTCAATCACCTAATCACATCCTCAGTCCTATTTTGTATTTTATTTAGAGACAGGGTCTCACTGAGTTGCTTCGTGCCTCGCTGTTGCTGAGGCTGGCTTTGAACTCCAGATCCTTCCGTGTCAGCTTCCTGAACCACTGGGATTGCAGGCGTGTGCTACCATGCCGGCTATCCTCGTTTGTCTTTACCACTGCAATAATTTAACAGTTTCCAGTTAAACTTTGTTTCTCACTCAGAAACCTGCTCACTTTCTCCAATGGCTTTTCCCTGCCACACAGTGTAACTCCAGTGTAGCTGCCTACTTGCTAGAATTATAACTTATTGCCCACTAGTTTACACTGCCTCAGCACACTGGCCTTCATTCTGTTCCTCAACAGGCCATGCTCATTCTGATTCAGCCCTGGGTGGCTCTTTCTTAGCATTAAGAAATCAGTTCAGACATAATCTACTTAAAAAGGCACTTCCTGGTCAGCTAGTCTAGAATAGCCATCCAGTGGCTCTGTGACATTCCCACTGTATTATGATTCTCCACAAAGCATTGAGCACCAACTGTTATTTTTCTTGTTAAATTATTACTGTCTCTCAACACTAGAATGTAGGCTCCAGGTGAGCAGGGATTTTGTTTTGCTTATTTTTTGCTCTTTATTCTCAGGGCCTAGAGTAGTATATGGACACATGGAAAGCACTCATTCTGTAGTGGAGCTCAATGATGCACACCTGTAATCCCAGCAACTCAGGAGGCTGAGGCAGGAGGATCAAAAGTTCAAAGCCCTCCTCAGCAATTTAATGACACACTGTCTCAAAATAAAAAATAAAAAGGGCTGGAGATGTTGCTCAGTGGTAAAGTGCACTTGGGTTCAATCCCTGGTACAAACAACAACAACAACAACAAAAAACCAAAACTACTCATTCAGTATTTGTTAGTTAACTAATTTGTTAATGTTTCACAACTGAATAAAATATTTGTGATTCTTTTTTCAATTCCTATGACTTTTTGCTGAATTTCTTCTGGAAATGATGGCGTAGGGGAACACTTGGCCCTTTCCTTTAGCTGAATAAGTGGGTTGGTTTTATTCGGTTTACTCTTTTTTACACCAAAGTGAGACTTTTGCAGCATTAATTTTATGTACAGCTTTGCATTGTAGATGTTGTAAGGCATTCCCTGTACATATAAAATTCAGACTTGGAATATTTACTGTAGATGATGACAACATTCAACAGAGAATCAACTTCAGGTTGCATCATTCTCAAAATTGTTTATTGAGCTTAGCACTAACACCAACAGAACTAGAATTAGAGGGGGAAAACTTAAATCAGCTTAAATTAAATTAAATTAAATCAGCTTGTGTTGTAGGATTTAAACATTGATGTGGTTCAGTCAAAATGCACATGACACTGAGACAGACATTCAGAGCAAAAAACAGAGGCAGGATGAATTTTAAAAAGCAAGGTAAAGGAAAGAGAAGAGAAAAAGATGGCTACATTATTTGTCATTGTTCTGAACTTGAAAACTTTTAACAGATAACCTTCATTGGCTAGTTTTTACTTTAGTATAAGTAATTTTCATGATTCTTGCAAATAATAAAATGAGTGGTTCTTGACAACAATTATGAAAGTTTAAAAGGTACAGGTATACATGTCTTTCTTCAAATCATATACAGTTCCTGCTATAATTTTGCTAAGTGTCCATGAGGATTTGAAAAATACCACTCATAAATGTGGTATTCCCCTCTCAGATTCAACAACAAATACAAAAATACATTATTGGCAAAATCCTTTGATCTGTCTTAATGTTCTTTGGCTGAAAACTTTAGATGCATTCATAGAATTATACATTTTACTAAGAATAACAAATAGCTGAAATATAGTTTTCCTTTATTTCAGTTTTCATAGAATTCTTAATCGAATTCTTAAATTGCTTAAGTATTATTTTTAAGAATTATAATCAATGGGGCTGGGATTGTGGCTCAGAAGTAGAGCACTCGCCTACCATGTGTGAGGCACTGGGTTCGATCCTCAGCACCACATAAAAATAAAGATGTTGTGTCCACCTATAACTAAAAAATAAATATTAAAAAAAGAAAGAAATATAGTCAATGAGCTCTACTTAATTCTTATTCCTGAGTTCTTCGTTAGTGTAGTTCACACTAGGTCATGGGGTCAGCAAACATTTTGGTAAAGTTGCCTTTTGTAAAAACTTTAGGCTTTGCAGATCTGTTAACCAACTGTTGGAACTACTTAACTGTGCTGTTGCAGTACAAAGACAGTTGTAGACAAGAAGTATGTAAACAAATTAGTGTGGCTGAGTTCCGGTAAAACTTTTTTCATGGATAGTGAAGTTTGAAGTTTATTTAATTTTCCTATGTCATGAAATAGTCTTCTTTTAATTTTCTTTCAACATTAAAAAATGTAAAACTATTCTTAGCTCTTATAGGGCCACACAAAACCAGATTTTGGCCAAAGTTTTCAGACCCCGCCCCAGGCTCATCTCAGACACTGAATTCTGTTGTTTCTATAAAGGCATTTTGAAACATACCCTAGAGAAAATTATGTATTTCATTTGTACTCCATTACTCAGTCCATAATTATCAGACATGTGTTAGACCAGTCATTTGTGTTAAAATCAGATAGTTGATTCCAAAAGTTACAGAAGAGTAGTTCAAAGATCATTGAAGCTTAATAAATGAAGGGTTGAGAAAAGACTCCACCATAAAAGTGTCAGGTTTTTAAAAAATTTGTTATAAATTACATTTGTTTTCTTCATTTGGATTTTATCTACTTACTTTTAAAACTTTAATTAACTGTAGTCACTCTAGATGAGGACAGTGTCTTTTGTTTATATGTATTATTATTGTTGTTATTGTTCTTCAGGAGGGCCACATTTTTGCAGAAATAGGATTATGCACAGGTGGCAGGATTCTTTATGTTTCAGTTGTGTTATGTCAAAACACCGTTTTGTTGAATTACAAATAGTACATGCAGT